CAGGCGGCTGTGAAAGTAATGAAGTCACCAACGCGCTCGTAGTGTTGTTTTTCAAAAACCCATAACCAAGTAAATACAAAAAAAAATGCAATTCCACTGTCCGGGCAAAAAAAAAACATAATAAACAATACCTATAAATGTGGTTGCAATAGACATATGTGCATACATATATAGATACTGGCGTGTGTTGATTATATTCACATTGACGTCAGCCACCGCACAATAATAGAGCTCCTGCTGCAGTTGCAACAACTCACATTCGTAATTTGCACATGCATCTATGTATATATGTATATATTTATATACATAAGTGTGTGTGTGTGTGTGTATAATCATAGCGACGCGCATAAATTCAATGGAGCGCGACTGACAACAACTCAACGCTCAACAGCATGTCGTAATTAATTAACCAGCGAACGAATGGTAATATACGTGGCATGAAATTTGATTTGACAAGCCTGCAACGTGTTGCTGCAAAGCACAATATGTAAAGCATGCTATTGCTTTCTCTTCATTTTGAGAAGAAAAAACTTGCATTTGAATTCTTTTAATTTATAAATTTTTTAGCTCAAAAAATTAAGACTGGTTGGAACCAATTAGTTAAGAGGAGAAATCTAAGTGCTGCATGGCTTAACATCAAAATTGAGTTTAATATTTTTTTTTTAAATGGTAAAATTATCAAAGCATCGTATTTTTAAAAATCGAATCACTCGAATTGAATAAACGATTTGTATGTAAATTACAATTTGTTTCGATACCTGCCAGAAGAGGTCCGATGGGGAGATGTGAGGATCTGCAAAACAGCTGGCACTTCTACCTTCTTCTTTGTTGTATGCATGAAAAGCATTTATATAAGAAAAATAACGAGAGTTGATTGTTAAAAGAACCACTCAAAGCAACTATCAAAATTAGTTTCATCGCTTAGTTTTCCCCATGATAAAATAATTTAAAGGTAGTTTCATTCTCTCTTCGCAGTCGGATTCATAGCCATCTGACATTAAACGTGTTTCGTCTTTTTCGTGCTACCATCTTCCTTGAAATATATCATTTTTTCGGAATTATATTGTATATTCCAACCATTAAAAGTGGATTTCATCGATTATATTCTATTCATGATTGGTGCATTACAACATGAATAAGTTGTAGGAAAGTATCGAAAGGAAGTTAGGATATTGTATGTCGGTATTAGAGAACTAATCTTCCACCGATTCCTCCTCATCTATGCCCCTGCAGCTGCGGAAAAAGTCGTTTGAGAAAAGAGCCATCCTTTTACTATGAACCCCCACAACATAGTATTCTGGAACATGGATATCCTGTTTAGAGAATTAAAGACTTTGTTCTGTGTACTTTGATCAATGACTAGACTTGGCTGGTCTCGTCTGTTGGCTTATTTGGTGAAAGCTAGTCTTAATAGATACTTTGCCGAGGAAATAGGTATGCCCGCGTCATCGTTTACCGAGTTTATGACTGTTCCTCATCTGCTCAGTTCATTGGCCACGCAGTTCCCTAGCCTAAACCACGTACGTTTCGCATACAGTCGATAAAAGCTAAAATGTCAGTTTCAAAAGTATGACAACTTTTTCTAATTTATTATTGATAAAAATCATTCCAAGAAAATCTTTTTTATTTCTGTCGATTAAGAAAAATGGCTTAGAATATATATTTTACTACATCCATGCGTATTTTCAATATTATTGCTCCTGCCTTGAGTATAACTCCAAATATATTTAAAAAAAAAATATCCTATAAGTGGCAACATCAACCAATTCTGAACAAATGCGTTTAGTGCCAAAAATTTCGAAGTGAAACTATCTTATAGAATTTTTGTATCATGGTTTTATGTATGTATAACAAAAAAAAAATTTCGATTCGTATAGAAAAATATGCCTTTCGCTCATTAATTTATACAGTTGAATATAGTGATATTCTTCTTCTCCTTTACTGGCATAGATACGATTGACGCAATTAGAGCAGAGTTAATCACTTCTTCTTTCTAACGGTAAGGTGGACTTCCTCTTCCTTTGCTACCACATAGTCGGGGTCTTTATATGCGCTAAATTACATAGATCACTGTCAATTGGTTTGACCAACATCTAAGATTTTAAAAAAATTGTTTTTCGAAATAAAATCTTCTCCCAAAAATCCACCGGTCGTTCGGTAGCAGCTTAAAATAAACTGTTGGTCCCACAAATTGGTAGATTAGCTCGCCAGAAAATCGCTTCAGAGGTTATAAAGCGCCTACAAAGAGAGTGGTTTTCACCTTGGGATTATCTGCGTAAACAAGCGATTTCACATAACCACACGAAGGCCACGATACAGGCCAACGACGCATTTAGCACCGCTTTTTGGGTACAGAGGTACTCAACATCAGCATCTTCTAGTTTGGGCACAAAAAATTCTTTAACCATAACCCTCTAGCGTTCCCCATTGACTGTTTTTTTTTATGACCTGAGGTCGAAACGAGCGTTCAGTGACGGTAGTCGTGCGAAAGAAAATCCCGTCGAAAATCATATAAAATTATGGAGAGGATGCCATACGAAAGCAAACGGATCGTAATGATTTGAAAATGTGAAAGATGAACATGATGACATCATCTTTTACATTAGGTTTGTTTATTGAGACTGAAAGTAGGGTAGAGCAGAACAGAGCAGCTGCCAAAAAAACAATAAAGTAAGTTAGAGCAACCCGTAGCAAAAAGCACATGAAACATTTTTCGGGCAACAATTTTCAAATGCAGGTTTTGACTTTTCTGTTGTATACAAAATAGAAAATTTTTACAATTTTTTCATATATTAGGTTGTCAAATATCTCCCTTCCGCTTTTTTGCTCTTCATTCAATGCTTTATAAAAAGTGTTACAGTGATCGGATTTAGTTAAAATATGCGCCGTTTTGTTCGATGATCTGTTTCCATCTAGACGGCAACTTCATAATACCTTCCTCGTAGAAGCCGCCCTCCTTATTTGCGAAGAATTCGGACAGCCACTTTTCACAAGCCAGGAACAGGTGGTAATCACTTGGCGCTACGTCCGGGCTATCCGAGCTCCCGTAGCTTCTGACGAGTCATCAACGAAGTATGTGGTCTGGCGTTGTCCTAGTGGAACACTACACCCTTCCTGTTGGCCAATTCTGGACGCTTCTGATCGATTGCCTGCTTCAAGCGGTCCAGTTGTTCGCAGTAGACGGTAGAAATAAGCGTCTGGCCATATGGGAGCAGCTCATAGTAGATGATTCCCTTCCAACCCCACCAAACACACAGCAAAACCTTCCTGGCCGTCAATCCCGGCTTGGCCACTGTGTGGGACGATTCACCGGCCTTCGACCACGACCGTTTTCGCTTGATATTGGCGTAGGTGATCCATTTTTCGTCGTCAGTCACTCCGCTTCAAGAATGGGTCGAGTTCGTTCCGTTTCAGCAGCATATCGCAGGCGTTGATTCGGTCCAGAAGGTTTTTTTGCGTCAAATTATGAGGCACCCAAACATCAAACTTTTTTTTGTATCCAGCCTTCTCCAGATGGTTCGAAATGGTTTGGTGACTAACTCCTATCTCCTGGGCGATGTCACGAGATGCCAAATACCGGTCTAACTCGATGTATTCCATGATTTGATCGGTATTTGTCGTCACAGGTCTTCCGCCGGCTGGCTTATCCATGGTGTCGTTTTCGCCGGCTCTGAATCGTCGAAACCATTCCTCCGCGGTTCGAAGTGATAGAATACCATCCCCCAAAACACGAAGGAAAACTTTAAAATAGCACGAATTTCGGCGTTAGTGAACTCCATGTTTACACGTCTATAACTGTTGAACGCAATATCCAAACTAATTATGCATAGCGTTGTTTTGTAGGTTATGTCAAGACCTTTCACATTATGTATAGTGTTGCTCTGTAGCGCTTTGTACATAGCCGCGAAATTCAAAAGAAAAAAAGCGGAAGGGAGACACAACCTTATATAACTTAATAAAATTTATTTTTTTTATCATCACTTGTATCAAACTTATTTATTGTGGCCCGTGAACAGCACTTTCTTATATTTTGCCCAATTTCGTTTTCTAACCGCGACTGTCAAAGAAATCTTATTGGTTGCTTCAAGTTACTCTATCAAAAAATCAAAGCAGAAAATCGTGGTCTGAATTGCTCTATTTCTGATTAGAGCAGACTCATGAAAAAAGGGTCATGAAACACAATTTTGTGAGATAGAGTAACCTAGGGTAACCTATGTTCACGGAAGGCTCGATTCGGCCCCTGTTTTATTTATGAAGAAATATGAACCAATAATTTGCATTGTCCATAGCGCACAGCAAGTTGTGAGGATGTAAGGGATTCTCAAAAATGGCTTATAGATTATCTTCAGTCCAAATGCGAAACTTTTGTTAACTAAAATACCTTCAAACCAGCAGTGAGTTCCATCGCTGAACAACAATTTTTTGTGAAAATTGGGATCGGTGAACTTCTAGTTTTGGGCCCATTCTCTGAACATGCCATCCGTTCGATGATTTTTCGAATTCAATTCATGCTCGGGTTGGATTTAGTAAGACTGCAAAGCAGAATCTTTCTGCAAAATCTACCAAAACGCAAATGAGCACAGCTCCAGCCAACAAGGTGTTGCATAATTGAGAACCAAAAGTATTAAAAACACCCTTTATCATTTTATGTCCTTGAGAGATATACGAATTTGTATCTGCCTTAACAAAGTTTTTATCAATAAGACACCTTATTCCAAAACTAAGACTTAAGAAGCAGCGCGTAGGACATGCAATAAGGACCTTAATTAACACGGTGACTTAAGATCCTTTCCACCGTATTGTAAGCTGCAGTCTTATAAGAATTTCCTCAATTTCTTTCTTAAATTTTGACGAAAAACATTGTCGAGCATGATGAGTCTACTCAAGGAATTTAGTGCGGCTGCTTGTGGCTTTCGAGCACGTCGTTGAACTTGGCGAACTAAAGAGATAAAGAAAGAAGAGAGCATCTAACTCCGTCTTATTTAGCTGAGAGCTTGAACGGAACACCAGAGCGAGAGGTTGCTGTCGAAAACTAACCATTGAGGCTTTAACTCTAACGGTACAAGTTATGTTTATTTATGTATTCAATTACGTCATCATCAAGCAAATATTTTACAGACTGTCCACGTCTCAGTAAACGACGCACCAAAGTTGAACTGAGATTGTTTGTAGTCCAATTCGTAATGAATTCGATATTGCGCTGTGAAAGGGCAGAGAAAGACGAAGATGAATTAATTTTAAAAATAGCCAAGCCGAAAACATACACAATACTTTGATAGAATATCGGATTCAAAAACAAATTTATCAGGTTTCGAGCCAATGCGTGTGAGGACAACTAGACCATAATTGCATAAACTTTCGATCTGAGTAAAAATTAAAGAAATATTTTTTAAAAAAATTAATCAATTACAAATCTCCCAAGCAGCACCTCCTCATTAGACCACAACTTCGTATCGGCTAGTGTCTCCAACAGATCACTGCCCAACAAAAATCGCAGCTGCACGTCAGCTGTACACGCACACAGCTCAGCGGGCAGCCATTCGGCATAATCACCTTCTCTAGCCTCTCCACGCTCCGTTTTCGCGGCATATTCTATGCAGTGTTTATGATATTTCAGCACATCCACTGTCGGTGTCCATTGTGTTTGACGCAGTTCCCAGTCGGAAAGCTATTAAGATGAGTTTAAACTACATTCACTCTCAGCCACATTTGTTGCTAAAGCTTTATAAAAGTGTATGCATGTATGTATGCAAATTACCCGTATCCAATTCGATGAACGTAAAGCCAACTTCAACATTGCCAATCTATGCTCACCCCCTACCAGTCCTTGCTTGTGTTGCTCATCATGCACTGGTGATATTATGCCGCCGATTACCCTAAACATTCCACGCTCCATGAAGTGATTTCGCGCTATTTCTGTTGGGACCATAAGATTTTATTGACTGACTCTCCGTTTATTTTATGCGCAGTGAGACAAAGTCCGCTTACCAAACATCCGCAAATGCATTGACGTTGGCGGACTGTATGAACCGCAGGCAATCAATATTAATCGTGGCAAAAAGTTGTTTTGTTTTGACATTTTATATTCTAAAATAAATATTTGCCGTTTTTTCGGTTGTAAATAAATCAGACGATTAAAAAAAATAACAATAATAATAAAAAAATAATATGCAAAGTTTGACTAAAGTAATACAAACGAAAGAGAAATATTGTAAATAAAAGCGACAGAAGTTGGAAAATGAATTTTAGTCAAGGCGCAGATAAAGATTTGATATTGTGGCTTCGATATTATAGATACTTCAACTAAACGCGGCGATTTCTAGTGAGTAAACAGTCATCATTAATTCGGATAATGTCGAGTTGAGTCGATCGGTTTGGGTGTACGCAAACTAGTCACGCAGTTTCTGAGATATTCCAACAAAGATTTGTACACAGACGGAATTTGATATTTGTCGGAACCGGCCAGGTCACCTTCGCTTTTATTGCATATCGGAGAGCTTGGCATACCTGGCCGAGGGGTAACCACAAAGGAAAATTTAATTTTCCATTGATTTCATATGAAGGTCGGACCACGGCTCGAACCTTCCGAATGGCAGTATAATCACTTGGTTGTTGGGACTGATTTCAGGTTCGAGGTTTTGTAAATCAGTCAAAAAAGCAGATATGGGCATGATATTCTATACTATACACCTATGTATCGTCACCGAAAACTATTGAAATCGAAGGACTGTATCATCTTGCCACCATACAAGCGATTTGTTCATATATGTGGTTTTGGGGCAAAAATCTGTCAGGAAAGCATCTTAAAGCATGACAATTGGCGTTCTACTCACATATATACAAATAACCATTGATACCAAAATTTATCGAAATCAACCATTTTGTCAGATTTGGGAATTAATATTTAATCCTAAAATAAATACCATAAATTTGGAATGCTCATGAAAGTTATAAAGTCATCTTCCTCGTGACCCAATACTGATTTTCTTTCTTATATTAATTGGTCTTATGCAAGACAGATGAAAGTATGAACTAGTATTTTACTAGTATAATACTGGCGCTTGGAGACCACACACTAACTTATTACATAGAAAGCGAATTTATGCGAGGTGGGTGTATATGCAAAATGGGTCTTACTTATTAATCAATATTTTAAATATTTTTTAATTTACGTTCACTGTTTTTACTATCCATTGCATCGGTAATTATCTTTCTTCCTCTCTCTCTTTCTCTCTTTCTACTATGTAATACTCGCACAAATTGACTCAGAACTGCTGCGCCTTAAAATATACAAAAAACATATCCAAGCTCTCTACTCCTCGCGTTCTCCGATCACACTTATTTTTACCGCTTCCGTAACACATTCATCACCATGTTAATTTGACAAAATCGAAAAAAACTTATACTTCAAAATTTTGGGAGAGAGATTCAAAGAAGTTGACATTCGCAACCTTGCTACTCACGCCGTACCGACTGTAAAAATCAATAATGAATAATACAAATATATTGGCTCAGTGGCCGAACACTCGCCTGTTGAGTCAGTATCTAGTGAAAGTCGGCTGAAGCAGAGAATTCAATTTAAAATGAGATCAACAAAAAAAAATCAGGTATAGTAAAAAGTAATCCATTATAAATGCGTTTGGATTACTCTAGATGGCGTTGGATTGAAAAAAGTTTAATTGGAAAAAGATAATAGGAAAAGTGTTGATCACTTAACTCGATAGTGTTTGAACGCATGCCAAAAATGGACACCAGCAAAGAAAAAAATGTTGATAGTGTATCGGACAGTCATGCACAATTTTGCTATGGTCGATTTCGTTTTAGTAATTTTTAAGTAGAAGATTTTTCAAGGAATGAAAACCAAGTATCGAAAACGTCGATAAAGTAAGGGAAATCGGCAAATCCGACCATCATCGGAGCATTGTTTCGATTGCCTTGGAGTTAAACATTGCACAACAATTTGGAATAATTTCCAAAGAGCTGCATATGCAAAGATGCTCAATATAAGGGTGCCACCGGAGTTATCGAGAAAAAACCTCTTGGAGACAGGTTCAGATAAAACTGCTGATCTTCTGTTTAATAGTAACAAAATCGACTCATTTCAGAAGCGGATGGTGTCTGCTAATGGAAAAAGTGGGTAATTGACAGCAACGTAAAAGGAAAACGGTCGTTGTCGGAGGTCACTGAGTTGGCACAAACGATCTTCAAGCCAGTGTTGACAGGCTGGAAGGTATTGTTGTGGGTTTGGTGGGATTGGCAAGGAATCCTCCAATATAACACAGTCGTGTGTTTCGTCAAGATAACGCCAGGCCACATATATCGATAGTGGTTCGCCAGAAGCTCCGAGAGTTTGGTTGAGAAGCTCTTAAGCATCCACTTTATAGTGTGGACCTCGCAACAAGTGAGTACCATCTGTTCCTGTATACGGCGAATGAATTGGCAGGAGAAGAGTTGGGAACTCGATGAAAACCGGTTGTCCGAATTTTCTGCCAATAGGCACAGAGGCTTCTATGGGAGCGGCATAATGACATTATCTTCAAAATGTCAAAAGTTATCAAACAAAACGTTCGATCTAAATGGGTTAATCCTAACTATGGTAAATAAAACCTTCACCTTAATGCAAAACTAATGGACTACTTTTTACTGAGATTATTTTCTGCCGCGGTAGCCGAGTGGTTAGCATTGCGTACCGCCACTCGGAAGGCTCGGGTTAAAATCTCCATGCGACCAACATCCAAATGTTATAGAAAACTAATTTAAAAAAAAATGAGTTAAATTTTTTACTTTCGATCACCCCTCGGCAGAAAATGTCTACTCCTCCGAGTGTATGTGTATAAAAGCTCCTCCTAAGAAACAATAAGTCGTTCGAAGGTGCCTCAGTGTAAGCTGTAGGTCCTTCAATTTTTTGAAAAAACATCAAGACGCAAAACCACAAATTGGAGGAGGAGCTCGACCGAAAAATTGCTTCAGCGGTTACAAAACGCCAATTAAATAAAATTTATATATGTTTATTTGCCGCCAAATTTCTATAATAAGACGCCTCATTGGAAAGCAGCGGGATTCTGATTGAAGTTAAATTTGAGGAATTTACGTGATTGACGGTTTAAGCCATTAGTGGGTTTGTGGTTGACAGGCTTTAATTCCAATACCGCACTATTTAAAGCTGCGAAGTGGACACAAATATAGTACAATAAATTCAAACGAATATATATTATATATATATTTATATATATATATATATATATATATATATATATATGTATTGCATAATTAAGTAGGTATATATGTACATTAATTTATATTTAGCCGCATTTCAATCGACAGCGGCCTTGAAAGATTTGTATTTACATATATACAATAAAGCTTATTATAAGCTTACACTCAATCAAAAGCGCAGATGAAAGAGACAGAAAATCGATAAGGGTTTAATTAATTAATTAAATCGCAGGAGGAATAAAATACACATATACACACATATACACAGCACACGTTATGCAATATTAATGTTTTAGCAGCTTTTTGTTTATATTTCAGAATCATTGCATGGAGTCACACCTTCACAGCGCGACACACACTGCCCTCAACACCACAGCATTTACTAATGCACACACAATGTACATACACGTGTATATTCCACCTGTAATCGCCTTCCTCCACATCCTGTCCAGCCTTGTTTAATGCGTTTATCAATTCAACTGCGAAATTGTCGGCAAAGTTTCCGGTCAGCGAGCGCGCAATTGCTTGGGCGTGAGAGTAACAGCGAAAATAATGCTAAACAATGCTGGAAAAAAATCTCAGTGCAAACAATGAAATAATAATACTTTTCGTAAGGAAAACAAAAAAGTCACAGAAAAAGCCAGTTTAGTTACCTAGGCAATGCTGGAGTGAAGTCCACAAAACAACGGTACAACGCTTGTTCGCTTATGAATAATTTTCCGCTTGAAAGAGTTCAAATAAATAACGGATGCGAAATGTGTATTCAAAAAATTTTGAAAGAAATGGATAAGGAAAGCTTTTTTTTGGCGGATAAACAAAATACTTTCCAAACGAGCGAAAAGATGGATTTTGCTTTTCTTCAAAACGGAAATTAAAAGCGGAAGATTTTTTAAATTTTTTTTTGCTTTTAACTTGGTTTGATAATAGATTACTAAATTAATATTATATAAAGGAGGTTCAGAGCTAAATCATTCTCAATAAGCTCAATAACCTGCACGAATTCTATTTTGTAAAAATAATTTTTAGCGACAAAAATCATAATCACAAAATACATATATATAACGAGTCTGACTATTATTCACTTCATTTCGCAAATACTTCATGAAATACCCAACAGAGAAAATATGGATTTTTTGGCACTGACAATACGAATCTACTAAGGATCCGCTCAATGTTTTTCTTATTTCGAGCAAATTCACTTCTGCCAGAAAGTGAGTGAAAAGAAAGGGAATTACTTTACGCCGATGTTATCACAAATCTTATGTCAGCTGAAACCAACTAAATAGTTTAATTCCCAAACAATACAGGCATCCCTTTAAACCGAAAAGTGCAGACATCTACCTTTGCGGATGACACAGCTATTTTATGCCGGGATAAATGCCCTACAAGAGCAGCAAAAACGATTAGTGATCATTTACTCCTCATCGAAGAATGGCTAAAAAACTGGAGAATTAAAGTTAATGAGCAAAAGTGTAAACACGTCACATTTACTTTAAGACCCCAATCATGTCCTGCAATTCGCTTAAATGGTATAAACATTCCCCAAGTCAACGATGTTACTTATCTCGGTATACACTTAGATAGACGTCTCACTTGGAAGAGACACATAGAGGCAAAAATACTACACATGAAATTAAAAGCAGCTAGTTTAAATTGACTTTTAAATAAAAACTCCGGTCTAAAACTAGACTACAAAGTCCTTATTTACAACGTAGTATTAAAACCAATTTAGATGTATGGTATTCAACTGTGGGGTACGACCTGTGCAACTAATATCGATAAAATACAGAGGTTCGTTCGTAACGTTAACATTCATCAAGACCTTGGTATTCTACTGGTTAAGTCTGAAATTGAAAGAAGCAGGACAAAGTACTTCACAAAGCTAAGAAATCATCCAAATCCGCTAGCTAATGCTTTATGCAACCCCTCGAGAAATTCCCGCC